CCCTGTGGCATGCACCCTGCGGCAGGGCCATTGGGACAGGCTGGAGGGGCCCCGGCGTGGGGCTGAGTGTCACTGTTCCTCTGTGCTTGCAGAGCTGTGGGGCTGGACACCTTCCCCCGGCTGGACCCTCCGCCCCCCATCACCAAGAAGCGGACACCACGTGCCCTGAAGACACCGCAGGACATGCTCATCGCGCCACAGCCAGCAGGGACCAGCCCAAGGAGGAGCATGGAGGAGCCCCCTGAACTTCCCACAGCCCACCCTGATGCTGCAGAGGAGTGGCCGGGGACGAGGGACCCATCCCCTCCAGAATGCTCTGGGGTCCCCAGCATGACTGGCACTCTAGAGCCGAGCGGGGACCAGCCCACCACTGTCCTCCCCGTGCCTGACCTCATCCATAAGGGCAGCCTAGAGAGCCAGTGGCAATCAGGCGAGAGGGCCACCGAGACCTCACCCCGCATGGAGAAGCCCTCCCGGAGACCAGGGCTGGACCATGAGCCACCAGGGAGCACGGGGCTACCAGAGCCATGCACCCCCAGCCGGGAGGTGGACGGGCCCCATCCTGACCTGCTGTCCTTTGAGTAGCAGTGCGGGAGCCACAATGGGGGCACCATGGGGGCTGGCTCTCCCAAACACGTCTCTCGCTGCTACTTGCTGGTTTTGAGGTCGTTATTTTGGAGGTGGAGGAGCCCCAGGATGGTAGGAGCCATTGCTGCCCCAGGTTGGGGTGTGGGGAGCATGATACCACGTTTCTTCCCTGATTCCCGGGAGGGCAACAGCTTGTCCTGCCAATGGCTTCTGCAGCCCTATCCCAGGCCCCTTCATTGCAAAGCTCCCATCCTGCCAAGGTGCCACCATTCTGTCTGCAGCCAGGGGCCACGCTGAGCTGAGGACCGAGGGTGAGCTTGCTCAGCAGCCTGGGTCCTCATGCATGGGTGCAGAAATGCCAGCCTGCCCCCGACCTGGTCAGCTCTGCTGGGCAAGTGTCCCACAAGTGTCCTCCACAGTTCCCCACATCTGGGCTGGCTGCCTCAGCCCGGGGCATGTTCCAGCTTACATCATGTGCTTGCTGAGATACCCCATACCGGTGTGCAAGAAGGTTTACCCAGCCCTAGTGCCCCGGTGCCAGGGGGCTGGGTTGGCAGATGTCCCCAAGGCCTCCTCCAGGTGCCAACCCCTTGGCATATAGTTGTCACAGTGCCATCTCTCTTTGCAGCGAAGCCCCAGCCACAGGAGACCCCCTCACGGCAGGGGCTGTGGCAGGGAGCAGGGCTGGATGCCTGGGGCTGCACAGCTGCTGGCCAGTGGGCTCTGGCAGGGAGACAGACTCCCCGCAAGACCCCCTCCAGCTTTCACTTGTCTCCTGGTTTCACCCCAGCCACCATGGACCAGACCGACCTGCGCAGGCGGACAGGCCACTCCATGTGGGCCAGCACCACCTCTCTCATTTATTTCCTGGGATGGGGATGTCTTTGTGAGACTAGGATGCAAGAAGCAATGCGGTCCTCTGATACTGCTCTATGATTGTTTTTCCTATGAATTACAGGAGAGGTTAGCCAGCCTGTGGACCCCTGGGCTGGTGCAAGGAAGCAGCTGCGAGATGGCACTTTGCTTAGAGCTTTTATGCACATGCTCACCGCAAAGGTCGTTTTGAGAGGAAAAGCTCCAAAGACCAGTTTTGGGCTGGAGGAGCCTAGGGGCTCAGGGATGGGGCACCTCTGCTCGCAGCTTCTCCTGGGCCACACAGGGCAGTTGGGCTGAAGAAACGTCTTCCACCACATTGTGGTCCTGCTTAAGGCAGGAAGTCGTGGGCCTGAGAGACCCCATTGTCCTGGGAGAAGCCACTGTCCCTCCTTGCCTGTCAGCATGGCAGGTGCTGGGGCTCTGCAGTGCTCGGCCACCAGGGAGGCCCTGCTCAAGAGTGAAGGAGACACCAGACCCATGAGGAACCTGTGGCCAGCTGGCAGTTGGTGCTGAGGTATAACACACCCTGTGTATAATGTGATGATGATGCTGTGCATGGCTGATGCTACCCCACAAACACAAGTCTATATGAGTATGTATGTATATGTGTATGCTGCCTAGACCTACACGGTGTTGTATATGTTGATGGAAACAAGGGCTCATAGCCCCTTTTTGTGGAACCAGCATCTTCCAACCCTGCGGATCACAAGGGAACCTCACTGCTGGTCCAGTCCCTCTATTTATGTTGTCTAGGCTGCGCGCATAGTTTGGGACAAAAGATGCAGATTGCACAATAAATTTTTTTTTTCTTTTTTACCCACTGACACGTAGCAGTCCCTTGATGGGAGGGGACCGCCTGCACCAGCTCGGCGTAGCCCCAGAGCCCCCCGATGAGGCTGGGGACCTGCTGGGCGCTCCTGCACGGGGTCTGCGGAGCGGAGGAGTGAGGCAGCAGCCCTGTGCAGCTGAGGGGTGCCGGGGAAAGCCACCCTCCAGCGCCAGCCTTGTTGGGGTGATGGCATAGGATGACGGGGGTCTGCTGTGTTAAAGCCGTGGGATTAAGGGAAATATCCCCCAAAGGCGCTAAGGGAGGCCTGACGCCTGCAAAGGGCACCTCCACCCCGCGAACCAGGCCCAGTGGCACAGCCAGAGGGAGCTGGGGGGGACTGGGGGGACTGGTGGTGCCCAGGCCGAGAGGGTGACATGGCTGCCCTGCTGTGCTTGGCGCTGAGGGGACGGGACACCCGGCTGGTGCCTGAGCTGAAGGGACGGGGCCTCGCTAGATCCCAGGCTGAGGG